GCGACGCCAGCGCCAACGCAACGCCAAAGTTGTATGTGGACGGGCCTATAGGAATGCTGCAGTACAGCATTTGAGTGGACAGTCACGGTTGTTTGTGAAGTTGTTGCAAGTTTGCAAATGTCTTGGAATGTCAGACCGTTCGCTTGTTGGAATGTAGGTGAGGCGTTAGAATGTTGTCAATGCTGGCTTGGCTTGTGTCTAATATACATATGTATGTACATACATACTGCATATGCATGTGCATGTGTGTGTGTATGTGTGTGCTATGCAATGTTGGGCAACTAACTACATACACTTGTCCTACAAATGTTAATTTTCCAAGAATTTTTAAGCAAGCAGAGTTCTGGGTGGCCATACAAATGTATGTATATGCATAGATGCAATGAATGAGAATGTGCATATGTTGCAAGTAAATAGGCATACAATTAAGATACATGGATGTACATAAATGCATATGCATATGTTTGCAAGAAAAAAAAAGCATCTAGTTAGCAGTAAAAGGTGCTAAGTGGCAACGGAAGTGCTCAAGTGGCTATCGGGATCTGTAAATTAGGCTATACGTATGTAAATTTAAATGTTTTAAATAGCATACTTATACATACATACATACAATGCATTTCTGCATAAATAAGTATGTAGACAAATGGGTTTTAGATTCTTACTGACGCGAAATTAGTGTAAGTGTCCCTACGATAAATAACACGACAGTTCTTCTCAGAAGCGAAAACTTTTTTTGACACACTAAATTGCAGCTTTTGTGACGAGGGGATGGATATCCCAGCATACCGAAAAAATTAAAGGCTTTACCAGCTTTTGATTACCTGGCAAACTACGGCTATAAGCCTAGAAACCACAATGCTAAATACTTGTGCGACTGGACTTTGCGGTACAAACTCAGTCTGTTCGCTGACGAACGTGTACGCAGGTCGGGTCAACTTAGTCCACTGCAACAAAAATTTTAAGAAAGCCTCATGCCCGGAGCTTTCTTTCTATGTATTGGGTCATATGAAAAGTTCCCTCTGAATTTTTTGGTATTTCTTTTTATCTTTATTGAAAATCAATTTAATCAAATACATATAAAGTAGCTATTATTACATCAAATACCTGGGGAGTTATGTCAATTTTCCAGTAGGTCTTGTCGAGT